TCGATCTCCAGGGCGTTGACCGTGCGTCTCAGCTCGATGATCTCCGCCTGGCAGGACTGCAGCTGCTCCGCACTGGACACCACTTGCTTGTTCAGCTCCTCGGTCTGAAACAGCACAGGGGACGAGACAGGGTGAGACCCTGCCTCAAGGGCCGCGAGGGGCCGAGGGGCCCGGGCGGCCGCGTGCCGAGATGCCCACCTGGGTGGTGAACCATTCCTCCACGTCCCTGCGGTTGGTCTCCACCAGGGCCTCATATTGGCTCCTGGTCTCGTTGAGCACGCGGTTCAGGTCCACGGTGGGGGCCGCGTCCACCTCCACGTTGAGGCGGTCTCCGATCTGGCAGCGCAGGGTGTTGACTTCCTGAGGGAAGAAGAGGAAGAAATGAACCACAGAAATGGATCTGCTGTATATCTTCCTACTGTAGGAAAGTGAGCACAACCCTGCCAAAAATGTATATTCTGATCATTCCCAAAGACTGACACAGATACGATGTAGGATTAGACCCAAATAGGGATCACATCAATATATTTCCAAAAAAAAACTGAAAAAAGCTCACATTTCCAATAAGACTTAGGTCCAAACTCCCTGGCCTGTGCAAATCCTACCTCATTTCCCAACTCACCCCTATAGGTAATGCATGCCCAGCCATATCAATCCATGTGCCAAAATCTAATATACCTGCTCTTCCACTCTGTGTCTTTGCTCAGTCTCTTCCCCCAGATTGAAACATCCAAGTGTGAAAACCTCATTCTTCCCATGACATGTCTCTGAGAACATTCCCTGTCTCCTTCCAGGTAGACTGGACTATTCCCTGCATATGTTGCTCATACTTCTCATATGGAACTACTTTCCTCTGTCCATATTCTACCATCGTTTGTACATAGCCATCTGCCTAGACCACTGGGAGCCCGTTGAAGAGAGAGAACATGTCTTAGTTCTTTTTTTCCTTCCATCTCTACCACCAAATTTAAAAACTAACAGTGAGCAGCAGCGAGCAGGGCTCAATAAATGGATGCCTTTTCTCAGCATCTCCAACACCTGCCCAACCTCACCCAGTTGCTGGAGAATAAGCAACCCACCTCCCTACATGCTATGGGTATAGTATCATCATTCTCTGAAGACTCTTGAGTTCTTCAGAGAAGAGTCCCAGCTCAAGAAGCCTGATGGCACTTGCCTCCTGGTTGCTGATGCTAAAGGCTTGGATCTGAAACCTACTTTTTTTTTTCCTTTTCCTCTCACCTCCTCGTGGTTCTTCTTGAGGCTCAGCAGCTCCTCCCTCAGGGACTCCACCTGGGCCTCCAGGTCAGACTTGCACAGAGTCAGCTCGTCCAGGATCCTGCGCAGGCCGTTGATGTCCGACTCCACCAGCTGCCTCAAGCCCATCTCCGTCTCATACCTGCACACACAGATCAGAAAGGATGAGGCAGGAAAGAAGCCAGTCCCCTGTTCTGTGTCTTGTGTGCATGGACTGGCCTCCATCTCTTTGAGCTGGTACAGTTTTCTTCCCCTTTTCTTCCATGTTTCCCTCAAGCTCTGCACAAATAGATTGGAGAGGCCCCTGACTCACCCTAACACCAGAAGGTCCCCACAAGAACTCATAAGATGGAGTCTGTCATTTTCCTCTCAGTTTTGTTGGTTAATATACCACCACTCCCCATAGAACAGTCTCTGTCAATCTCTGAATTTGGGGATTTAAGAAGGCCTTCCATAGATAGCAATATAGGCTGAAGTGCACACAGCATATGAGTCTGGATCTCTGTTTGAAACCAGTTTTAGATAAAGCCAGGCTTGAGAAGAGAAATCAAAAGGGAAGAATGGCTGCCTCTCCCCTTCCAGGAAATGTTAGTCCCACGGGGCCATGAGAGAGCCATAAGGACCTTAGGGGTCACCTAGCCTAAAAGTCTCAACCTACTTGGTTCTGAAGTCATCAGAGGCCAACTTGGCGTTGTCGATCTGCACCACCAGCCTGGCATTCTCAGACTTGGCACACAGAATCTGAAAACAAGATTCTACTGTGAGGGCCACTTGAACTTGAGAATGTCTTATTGTTCAAAGACAGTCAGCTGCTGCTGTGCCCCCACATGGCACCCCCTCACCTTCTGCTGGAGCTCCTCGATGGTCCGGAAGTAGGACTGGTAGCTGGGGCACACGAAGGGCACCTGCTGCTGGCACCACTCCCGGATCCTGGTCTCCAGCTCCGCGTTCTCCCGCTCCAGCTGGCGCACCTTCTCCAGGTAGCTGGCCAGGCGGTCGTTCAGGAACTGCATGGTCTCCTTCTCGCTGCCATTGAAGGAGCCCTCGCAGAACCAGCCACAGTTGCCCACGTTGGCGGGGATGTTGCAGGCCCCGGGCAGGGTACAGGTGTGGCAGCTGGGGGG